GGGAGACTGAGGCCTGAGTCTGGCTGTGAGACAGGAAGGGCCCAGGAGAGGAGGTCACCCACACAGGAGACTGGGCTGCAGGCTGGCAGGGTCTGCCTCCTGAAGGGTGTAGCAAGCCAAAAATGACCTTGGGAACTAGGCAGACAGGCTCCCAACCTAACTCTTCCCCTGAGGCTTTAGGTGAGGGTATTCTCTCTGAACCTCATGCCTTATAGGCAGTGCTGGAAGACTGGCTACACTGCTGTGAAGAGGTTAAAGCACATCACTCATACTGAGCTCCAGCTGGCCACACGGGCCTCAACCTAACTCCTAAGTCAGCTAGATCCAGAGGCGGGGAAACACAGCGTAGGGTTTAAATACTCGCACCTCTATCAACTTGGACCTTTGGTCTGTGATGCTCCATGGCTGAGGGCTTTCTGGAACAGCTGTCAACCTGCAGATGTGTTGAGGACGTCGTCCCAAGGGCTTACCTCAAATGCTTCTTGGTCCTCAGCTTCCATCTGCCTCCCACTTCTCTAGGAACACTTCCTGCCCTGGCTCTCCACAGGACTGAGCCAGTTGATACCCACAGGCCACCGACAAAGCATGGCTACTACAAGGACTCGAGAAGATGGTGGGAAAAAGCAGAAGAGGAACTTTGGACCCTGGAAGGTTGAGAGGGTTGTGAGGAAAGGCACCACTTAGCCAGTATAGTTCCAGATCTGTTTTTCAAGGGTATCCTTTATTAAAAGGCATTATTATCATTATTGATTAGGAACCTCACATCATGTGCCTCAGTGCACTCACCTCCCTGTCTTCCATATCCACCCTCCCCCATGACCTCCCCACACACATACAAAAAGAAAAGAAACAAGTCCATTTTGTGTTGTCCATACATTCACTGAGTGTTGTAGGAAGAGGCTGCTTGTTCGTTTCTCAGCTGCCCAGACCCGAAATAATCACAGAGAAACTGTATTAATGAAATCACTGCTTGGCCTGTTAGCTCTAACTTCTTGTTGGCTAGCTCTTACATATTAATTTAACCCATTTCTATTAATCTGTGCATCACCATGTGACTGTGGTTTACCAGTAAGGTTCCATCCGGAGTCAGCCTCTGGCCGGGCTACATGGCTTCTCTGACTCTGCCTTCTTTCTTCCAGCATTCAGTTTAGTTCCCCCCTCGCCTAGCTCTGCTCTACCCTATCACAGGCCCCAAACATTAACCAATAAAAGCAATACATATATAGAAGGACTTCCTACATCAGAGTGTGATCAAATTCCTTGAGGCTAGCCCAAAGGAGGATGAGTCTTCCTCTACTACATCCACACCCAAAGCCATCAATTGAGGAGAGCCCATGCATTGACCAGAGCGGGGCGGAGTTAGCTCTCCCACGCTTACCCCACCACCTGCACTGTAGTGCTATGGGCCAGCATGGGGCAGGGCCAGCTCTCCTGTGCCCAGGGACACTAACTTGGCTTCAGGTGACGGCCCTGATCATAGACATCCGCTTGGACTTTGGTGGTGGTGACACAGGCCACAGACATCAGTCCCGCCCTTGGTCATATCAAGACCATTGACCCACTCATATCCTTCAGTGGCTGCACAGACCATGAGCCTTGACATAGCCTCAGATGGTTACACATGCCACTCACAGCAGCATGGCTTTCTGAGGCAGCAAAGCCTGATAACATTACCAAGGCTTGGGCAGAGGCACAGGTGGCATATATCCTCATGGATCTCAGGCTTCATCGTGGCCTGCGGCAGCAGCATGGACCACTGTCACCAACCTGGCCTCTGGTGTCATCATGGAACCATGGCAAATCCTTCAAGGAGACCTAATCCAGAACACGAACCTTCCCCCATCTCAGGCCTCCGTTGTTGCCCAGAGCTGTAGATGAGTGAGATAAAATGGTCCCAGACTAGCTGCGAATGGAGTTTAATAAAGGGTTTTTTTATTTAGGGGTAGACTCACAGATCTATAGTCCTCTGCATGAGCAGGAAACAAGAACCGAATCCAGCAGGAGAGAGGGAGAGGGAGAGGAAGAAAGAGAAAGCACGTTTCTAGTACCCAAGGCCACACCCAAACTGGACCAACCAACCAAAGACCATTGGCTGAAGGGGTTCCCCCAGCACAGAGCCAGGGGGATCCCCAGGCCAGGCAGCAGGTTCAGGGGCTGAGTCTATGCAGCATAAGCTCCAGGCTGGTGTGCATCATCCTGCCGACCCTCCTGGGGCAATGGCAGCATGCAGACCTCAGCCCTCTCCATCACCTGCCACCGCCATCACGTCTCCAGTTCTGCCTCTCTCCCTAATGCACACTCTCCATTACATATCTGTTCATTGTGGTAGCGCCCACTTGGGTGGCTTCTGCCTGCCTTGGGCAGTTGGATTAAGGCAAGGGTATCAGTTAAGATGACCCTGTCAAAGGTAGACCAGACAGTCAAGATTACAAACCTAAGACACCCTTTGGAAGGATGTGCATTCACAAGGGAAGAGAGCTTTGGCCCTAAGGCCCAAGCTCTCAGGCTTCTTGTAGTTCAGGTCCCTATCTCTTCAAGTTTAATTAGACAGAAGTTTCTGTCCCACCCAGTCCTGTAGCCATTCAGTCCCAAAGAAACACACAGAGGCTTATATTAACTATAAACCATTTGATCTATTAGCTCAGGCTTATTATTAAGTAGCTCTTACAACTTAAATTAACCCATAATTCTTGTCCATGTCTAGCCACATGGCTTGGTAACTTTTCTCAGTAAGGCATTCTCATCTTGTGTCCTCTGCTTCTGGATGATGACTGCATCTCTGCCTTTCCTCTTCCTACAATTCTTTGGTTGTCCCATCTATACTTTCTGCCTGACTACTGGCCAATCAGCATTTTATTAAACTAATACGAGTGACAAATCTTTACAGTGTACATTGTCCCACAAGTTTCTCAGAATTCTCCAGACTTCTAGATGTAGTCCCTTGGTGTCTTCTCATGCCCATTTCCCTTTGATCCTTCCCTCCCACTCGGGGCCTTGGGTATCTCTGCTGGCGCCCTTACTTTCAGGCCCCCCTTTCTCACACCCTCTGTAGCTGTCATTGGTGGAACTTGCCCCTTTGGTACATTCTGTATCCTAACCCGCTAATTATCAGCTTTCTTGTTTGCTATGCTCAAGCTTTTCGTGTGTCCTCAATTCATTAAAGAAGCAGAGACTGCCACCAGCCAGGAAGACTGCACTTACCTCTGACAGAAAGCACACATCCTGGAAATCACTGGCATGTGCTCAAATACCAGGCATGCATGGGCAGAAGCTGCAATAAGCTGCTGAGGTCCACTGTATCACTCAGGACAGAGGGACGGTGACCTCAGCATTAACCATCCACACAGGGGAACTAGCACAGCTGTCCTACTTAGCCACCTCCTTCCTCCCTAACACTCGAACTGTGCCCAGGGCTTTGGACTCATGTGTGACCTGGATTGCCCAATGATGACAATCATCTTCTCAGAGTAAGTACCACACCTGGGCTATGAGAACAGAGGGTAAGCCCTCAGCAACAACGTCCCCCGGACACAGTTAACTTCAGAGGCAATGTCAATATTAACACCGCAAGGAATGTCAGAGTCCCCAGCTCGAGATCCCAGCTGTCATGCGGTAACTGGGTTTAAGGTCAAGTCCGTGTCAAGCCTCTTCATCCAAAAGCATGGGTAACAGTGCTCCCTCAAAGGGCTGGAAAGGCTGAGTTAGTGGAGAACACATGGCATGTCACATGGACGTCGTCAGCTGAGGAAGACAGTGACCCCGAGGACAAGCACATGGAATGTGAGCGTGGACTCTTGTGAGCCGGCCAACAACCGGAAGTTATAGGAAATGCCTAATGAACAGGAGGCAGCCTATTTTCCCCAGATCTACCCATTTCTATTCTAACCCTTTTATTCCTAGTCTCAAATTCTGAACCTCTTAATTGATCTACTGGGTTGTTTGTTTCGTTTGTTTTTCAAGACAGGGTTTCTCTGTGTAGCTCTAGCTGTCCTGGAACTTGCTCTATAGACCAAGCTGGCCTTGAACTCAGAGATCTGCCTGCCTGTGTCTCTTAAGTGCTGGGATTTAAAGGCACATGCAACAGTTCAGCCTATTGTTTTGTTGTTCTTTTTTTAAAATTAAAACTCTAAAATTTTTTAAAGATTTATTTACTAATTATGTATAGTGTTCTGTCTGCATGACAGAAGAAGGCACCAGATCTCATTACAGATGGTTGTGAGCTGCCATGTAGGGGCTGGGAATTGAATCCGGCTCCGTGGAGGAGCAGCCAACGCTCTGAACCTCAGAGCCGTCTCTCTGGCCCTGATCTGTTGCTCCTCAGGAAAATGCCGTCGAACTTTTGCTTGGAAGGAGCCGAAGCAGCTCCTGGGTAGCTACCTGGGCTTTCAGGTCGGGAGCGGCGACAAACTAGCGGCCAGTGCAGAGACAGGCAGCTTGGCAGAGGAGCCCTGGTAGGCGCGACAGCGGCACTGTGGGTCTCACAGTGTCCCTCCTCTTCCTCTCCCTGTTGTAAGACAACCTGATGCTACAAATCAACACCAGCAGCAACCCAGGTGACAGGCACTTCCTGCTTCCTGCCAGCTGCAGCTGTCACCTGCAGTGACAGCAGACCCTAAGCAGGGACCGTCTGAGAAGGCACCAGCTCCAGGGAGCCAAGGGTGAGATCCTATAGACTATTATTCCAGGGAAAAGTCTGTGCGCCTAATGGACACCATCCCTCTGCGTTCTTCAAAAGGGCCTTCTAGGGCTAAGGGACAGCGGAGGAGGCTGAAGCCAGTGGCAAAGGGATGACAGGAAGCAACCCTGAGGCCCAGCTGCTCCCAAACACTGTCCCTCCTCAAAGACCAGTGCTATGTGGACAGAGGAAAAGCACTAATTCTGCAGACTGTCTGGTATCCCAACTTCAGAGTGCTCCTACCACCGGGGGCCATCACAGTACAATGGGAGCAGGTAGCTTTGGGGGTACACTTTGCTGGGGCAGGGGAGAGGCAATACACAAGTCAGATTGGTAGTCACATTTATTACTCTGCGCTCTGGTTTCCATATAGTTTTGCAAGACAACCAAGTGTGAATGACAATCGATTTGCTCTCCCCAATGCTGCAGAGGTAAGGTGAACCCCTCACTGGCGATCACAGAGGGCTGACAAAACCGAGATTGGTCTGTAGGCATCAGAGATGACGGGGCAGGTCTCAGTCAGCAGAAGGATCATGGGCTAGAGCATCCTAGAAAACAAGCGATCAGCAGCCGCAGAGTACTTGGGATTAGGTGTGCGGCCGAGATCTGGAACATCTTCTTACTTCTTTCTCCTCTTTGTTGAATACAGTTTCTCCTCCAGTGGGACTGGGACTATGCCGCCGCACTCTTTTACTTCCTGGGTCAGCGGGTGTTTCACAACATTTGGTCTCACCACATCAATGTCTCGAGTCAAGTGATCCAATATGCCGTCCACAGCACTGGTTGGGGCATAAAAATCCACCAGAAAATACCTGCAACAAGACAGAAGCAGGTGAGCTCCTGTATCGGGACTCACATTCCTGCTGCTTTGGTCGGACAGAGCTCACAGCTGAGACACTCCTCACGCGCACTCAAAGGCAGGGGCACACCCGGTCTCCTTTCAGGCTGGATCACACATTGCGTCCTGTGGAAGCAGTCTTAAACCACCTTTACAACAGCAAAGAGGCATTGTGACGTCAGCCAGAGCAGGGAATAATACAATAATTGTGAAGTTATACACTCAGAATTTTCTAACCTATCAACAAGAATGGAATTCTAAATCATCTGATTCTTTTTATGAAAACACTAGGAAGTCTTCTAGTTTTCCAAAGGACTTTACTAGTGACTCCATCCCTAAGAGGAACAGACAGTCAGACATTAGTCAGTCAGCTGTGTCCCACAGGAAGGAGATAGACCTACCCAGACTGCTCTGTAGGAACAAGATCTAACAAGGAACACAGTGCAGATGGCGTAGCCCTTCAGTAAGACAATGGGCATAACATTAATATTCATGTCAGACTGATGCTAAATGCCATTAGAGACAGCTATGGTCAAAACCTTATTAGTACCTGACAGACAATGTCACAAAGGACTGTCCCCAGCCCATCCCTGCTGTCCACACTCACAACTAGCCAGATGTAGTGGTGCACACCTGTAAGACCAACATTTGAGATGGAAAAGGCAGGGGGATTGCTTCAAGTTCAAAGTCAGCAGCTCTTTATAGTGCATTTAGACCAGCTAGGGAGCTCAAGGCCTCCAAAGGGCAAGGGCAGGGTTGAAGTTGCCTGTGCACCGTGTGATTTGGATGGCATGGCTAGGACAGTCGGTGGCTCGGGATAGTCGGCAGAGCGTTCTGAAGATCTGGCAATGTTCTAGCCGCGTGACACATCTTTCTCTCCAGCCATGCCTTCTCCGAACTCTCGAAGTACAATCTTATCTGAGGTTCTGTCCTCAATGTTCCTCTTGCCCAAATTCCACAGGGCTCCGCCCACTTCTCAGCTCTGTCCAAATGTCTTCTTGGAGGCCCTCTAACCACGCCCACAGAGCAGCCTCACCCCACGCCCACACCCACACTGTCTCCCTCACTGCCTTGCTCCTCCTTTGACCAAGCAGCACCACTGCTAGCTCGGGAGAGACCTGTTTACTATCCGTCCGGGTAGGAAGTGCAGTGCAAGGCAGGAAGGTGCTGCATAGGTAAATCAGTCTTGGGGCAGCACACAGATGAATAGAAATGGATTAATTTTACTTAAAAAAAAAGAGTTAGCTAGAAACAAGCCTAAGCTAGGGCTCAGCATTCACAATAATAAGTCTCAAGTCGTGATTTGGGGGCTGGCGGTCCAAGAAAGCCTGCTACAAGCAAATATCTAGCCTGATACTCCTCTCTCAACCGCCTTAAATAAATAAGGAAACTGGTATCCAAGTGCCTTAACACAAAGTCTCCTTTTTACCTTCAGAAACTTGCTCTTGCTTTAGCCTTCTTGACTGTTGTCCATGTTCCATGCATTTACTATGTCTTCTAAATTCCCAGAGCAAAGCTTTCTCACTCTAAATAAAGACTATTCTTTGGAGAACCTTTCTGGTATTTAGACTGACCATGGGTAAGAAATTTTCAGTTATTTAGATGTCTATTCTCTCCAGTCTGACTTACAGTTCCAACAGCTCAATCAAAACATCAACAAGCACATTTTCAAGTTCACCTGGAAATACACAACGGTCAAGCAGCTCTGATGAAGAATAAAGCTCAACAGCAAACACCACCTATTTCAAGACTGAAGAAGCAACGGTGATCCAGACAGCATGAACAGACAGACCACAGAGACGAGCATGACAGAGACACGGCAGGGGAGGAGAGTATTCCCAGCAGTGGTGACCGGCTCAGTTCCTGATGCTTCAAAAGTACGCTTTGCTGCACACATGTGTGCCAGACAGGACAATTACTTCAAGAATGGGACAGACTGAAATCAAACTATTGAATTTCTAGAAAAAAAAGTAAAAGAAAAGCCTTGGTGACCTTGGGATTAAGCCAAGATTAATCAGGCAACACAAAAAAAGTACAATTTATAATTTAAAAAAAAAAAAACAATAAAACAGACCATCGAAATTAAAAACAATTCTCAAAGTAAAAAGACAAGCTGCAGACAGGATTTGTTAGTCATATCTCAGATCATATACCTGAATCTAGCAAAGAACTCTCAAAAATTTAATTTAAAATATAAACAAAGTAAGTTAAAACAAAAACAAACTAAACCTCAATTTAAGAATAGCTATAGGGGGGCTGGAGAGATGGCTCAGCAGTTAAGAGCATTGCCTGCTCTTCCAAAGGTCCTGAGTTCAATTCCCAGCAACCACATGGTGGCTCACAACCATCTGTAATGGGGTCTGGTGCCCTCTTCTGGCCTTCAGGCATACACACAGACAGAATATTGTATACATAATAAATATAAAAATAAATATATATAAAAAAGAATAGCTGTAAATGAACAGATCAAAGGAAGACATGATGGAGTCAAGGAAGAACACCATGGTGTTTGAACACTTGGCCACAGCGAGCGGCACTGTGAGGTGTGGCCTTGTTGGAGGAAGTGTTTGCATCACCGTGGAGCCAGGCTTGAGGTCTCACACGCTCAAGCTACTATGACACACAGTCTCCTTCTGTTGTCTGCGGATCAAGGTGTACAACTCTCGGTTCCTTCTCCAGCACCATGTTCCCCGCCATGATGACAGTGGACTAAACCTGACAAACTATAAGCCAGCCCAGCTAAATGCCTTCCTTTCTAAGAGGTGCTGTGATCATGGTGTCTCTTCACAGCCACAGAACACTAAGATACAAACGAGAGCCAGAGAAAATGACTGCACTAGTTACTTTCTGTTGCTGGAAAAACACCACGACCAATGGCAACCTAAGGAAGGGTCTGTTTTGGTTTAAAGCTCCCAAGGGCTAGATGTCCACAATGGCAGAAAGGCACACAGGCACAGTGGCCACAACAGGAGGCCGAGAGAGCACTTCTGAGCTGCACAGAGGAAGCACAGAATGAACTGGAAACAGGGTGTAGCTACAAATCCTCAAAGCCCACTCACAGACAAGGGCTTCCTCCAGCAATGCTGCACTTCCTAAAGGGTCCATACCTCTCCAAACAGCAGTGCCAACAGAAACTCAGTGTTCAAATACAGGCGCCTATAGGGGACATTTCTCATTTAGACTGCCACACCACTAGAATGGCTCCGGGGGGCAGTAACTTGTGTATTTATTCACTAGATAATCACTTGTGATGACTATGGGAACTAAACACCAACCTCCCCACACGTTCCAATGCTTAATTTCATTTATTCGTACTACACACACACACACACACACACACACACACCACAAAAAAAAAAAAAAACCCTCAAGGGTTTCAACCACCCAATTTATGAATTGCTCATTTGTTCAACACTAAATCATGATTACTTACCCTATGCAAGCCAAGAAGCAGAGCCTAAAATGTTAAGTGGAGTGACCTCAAACCATCCCTTCCATGCTAAGCACCAGCTCACTCATTTCATTTGGCTACTTGGCGGCAGGTGGGACGCTTCAATCCAGCACACGCCCCAGCACTTCTTCTTCCCAGTGTCCATTCCTCTCTTACTCAGTATTGATCAAAATGCCCTTCCAAACTACCATGAGCAGCTCTGGCTGCTGTCTGCTAACACCCACCTGAGTGGGCAGCGGAGTCTGGGAGCACGCCCATTCACCCTGAGGAGGCTCCTTTTATTTTACTTTGCATCCCTGCCTCTGTTTGTGCAGAGCCCTGTGACACACCAGCACTAGGGCCTGGCCTATGATGCCTCCCCCCTGTAAGATCTAAGTGCTACCCTTCCTGCACCCCCCACCACCTCGGCTCTACCTACAGTGCTGCCAACAGCAAGCACTGCCCTCTTCTTTCAACCGCCACACATCTGTAGGCAGAATGGTCTAATATTCTAGAGAAAGAATGTTTACAGGCGCCAAGAGTCAACTCAAACCTCTTCCCCTCAATGGTACACTTCGCGGGCCTTCTAATCACTGCTTACCAAACCATCCTTAGCCGCGTACCACCACAGCCTTTAAACATCGCTTTGTGATTAAGAGCAGAAAGAATCCCCGTGGATGGACGGAAGTGCAGAGCGTGGTGTACCAGATCCCTCCTGGTTCAGACCTTGAAAACAAGGGTCTCAATTTCCACAGTACCTCACATCTCTTCAACACCTGAGGAGAGGATGGCGGGCAGGAGAAACCCCACGTACGTCAGGTGAGGAAATGGAAGAAGGAGACTGAGGTTGAGCACTGGTCTGGGTCCAGCATCGTTTTCCAGAGTATGGTTTCCTACACATGGCCTCCTTCCAAGCTCACCATCTAACAGGAAGAAGTACAGACTCAGGAAGCTTCTATTTATACCCTCAGTTCCCCCTGCTGTGTGTGGCCACGGTGAGGACTCAGACAGATCGGGTCTTCTGTAAGTGATAGCCAGGAAAATGTAGCCCAGTGCCTCCAACTGGAGAAACAACAAGCAGAAAGAGAACTGGTCTACCTGGTGCAGTCCCTGGGTAGACCTCATTTCTCACAACCTATTACTGGCACTCTGGAGGCTTCTCAAGGATCAAACAAAGGCTTGGAGGTCTTCAGACTGGGCCAGGGTTTGGCTTCTAAGAGCCCTCACTGCTACCAAACCCTGTGGCCTTTGCCCTTTAATCCACCTCCTCGAGTTTTCCAGTCCTTTGGCAACCAAACCCAAACAAGAGCTCTGGCCAAACTGCAAGTGGGTTTGTGCCTACAACCACAGCGTGTGACTGTCATTTCAGGCTTATCACTCTATGGATCTGTGCCCGGGGCTGATGTGGGCAAAGACTGCTTCTACTCCCCTGGCTCCCCATGATACCATGGAAATTTCCATGAAAAGGAAACACCCAACAGAGGAGGGCTAAGTAGCTCGGAGATGGGCAGATATACTGTATTCACCTCTCCTTGAAAGCTGAA